GGATCAACATGGAGAGCAGCTTGGGAAGAACATGAAAAGACAACTCCATGGAGAAGGGGAGCCAGGATTCCCAGGAGGAATCAGCAGGGCTTCAATGCCAGACAGTTTGCTGCTGGCCGCAGATCTGAGTGCAGAGACTGCCCAGAAAATAAATTTTAAAAAGCGGAGGAATCCTAACCACCACCATTTGCTGGGCACAGGGATGCCAAGTTCCATGCCAAGTCCTCAGAGGCCTGGTCTCCATTACTCTTCGCATCAGCATTGTAACGATCGCATTGATAACTGTCCCCATGGTACAGATGAGGAAGCTGGGAGCGCTGGACTTCTCCATGAGGCAGCCTGACCTCAGTTCAGCTACTGCACTGCACTGCCACACAGTGCTGCATTCATCTGAGACACCTCACTGAACCGTGGCAGCATGGGACTCGTCACTGAGGGAGGGCCGAGAACGGAGGCAGCTTACTCAAAGAAGCTTTATTGGAAGGGAAATATCATGTGGTTGGTCAATACCATGCCTGCATCCTTGAAATCCACACCCCAAGGACAGTAGCAAGCAAGGAAAATGAAGTCCAAAGAATGAAGGTGGTAAGGGAGGAACCGCAGTTGTCTTTAAATCGTTGAAGCAGCTGCTGTGTGGGCAAGGGGTAGTGTGTTCTTGGTTGTATTGAAATAGGGGTGAGTTGCAAGGAGCCAGATCTCAGCTCCATATAAAGAAGACATTCTTAATCAGACCTGTTACAAAAGGCAAAATGGACCTCCTCAAGAAGGAGCAAGCTGCTGGAGGTGGGACCCCAAGGAGGAGACCCATCCATCTATCAAGAATGCTGGCGAATCCTGTGTGCAATGTTCCAGGGCGACCTGCAGAGACCTAGTCCATGGTCTAGGGAGCGTATCCAGGTGCCCGCAGCCCTCAGCTCCTTCTACATGGAGCCTGAGCACAGCTCTTCAGATGCCTGCCTGCCTGTAGAAAAGGAAGGGGAGGTGTGACCTTGACCTAGCTACACTGTTACACTCTGAAGGCCACAATTACTGGAGGGAGGCATTTATCCCAGATGAAAGAAAGAAGAGAGAAAACCAAATGTCTTTATTCACCAGCTCCCAATGGAAGGCTTGAGACGTGAAGTAGTTTGCCATCAGAGAGCTGCCTTATCGCTGGCTTGGGCTGAGCCTGAATAACTGTGGCGGAGGCTGCACAAAAAGACTTCGTTCGTCAGGACCCCAGAGCCTCCCCCAGGCCGCTGGACACACCACCCTCCCTAGTCACACAGACATATGCAGCTCTAGGACTGACTCCGGGCTTCCCTCTAGGCACCCCTAGCCATGTGTAACTGCCTCACTGCACAGATGTATGTGTCCTTCCGTCTGCTGGTGCCATCAGGAGGGTTTGTCCTCTGGTAAACTTTGGCCCATGACCTTTTCCTTCTCTAAAGTGGGTCATCCGGTCCGGTCCGCAAGGCCTGAATTCCCAGCATCTCCCAAGTACCTTGGACTTGAGCTCTGTTTCCTGCCCCTTCCCAGACGCCCATTGAGCCACAGGCAAAACGCTGGGCCTCCTCCACTTTCTGTTGCCCCAACATAAGTTCCCTGGTGACAGGGAAAGAGAGAGAGGCTGCCTTTCTGACTTGTGACAATTTCAGAAGACACTTTAATCCTTGCCACTTGGGAGGTGCATGTTTGGCATATAAACATGTTGGGGGGTGGGGGAGGATATGATATAGCCTAGCCTTGGCTTGGATGCTATGAGGCCCATTCACTCGTACTCATTCACCAAATATGCCTCCAGCTCCTACTATGTGCCATGCACCATGCTAGGCAATGGAATCGATTGAACTGCAGAACACAGGCACAGTCCTCACCAAGGAGCAAGAAAAAATATATACATACCTATCCTGCCCACCAGAGCAATGTTTCTCAGACTTTGTTTGCTTGTGAATGACCTGGAGAGTAGTTAAAATTCAGTCGATCTGGAGATGATGCCCATCTGCCGGCTCCCAGTGAGGGCCAACGGTAGTAACAAGGAGAGCACCGTGATGCGGGGGCAACTTGAGGACCAGGCAGAGGCTATGTAGGGTGGGTCCTCTGCAGGTGAACAGTGGTCAGAATGATGGACAGGAGCTGTGTGTAGGAGCCCTGATGGGTCCCCTCCTTCTCTCTCCCACAGAAGGGCTCCTTATCGCTCACCTGGCCAAGGGTCTGGACTGGTGGCAGCGGCATGTGAGAGTAGTTGTGGGCAGATGATGTTCAAGAAGTATAGGATAATGGCCAGTGGACCCAGGGTCTGTGATGTCCTCTTGCTCAGGGGAGTCCTCTTGTCTTTGCAGATTGCGCTGGCTGCAAGGAGGAGATCAAGCATGGCCAATCACTCCTGGCGCTGGACAAACAGTGGCATGTCAGCTGCTTCAAATGCCAAACTTGCAGTGTCATTCTCACCGGGGAGTACATTAGCAAGTGAGTCTCCCCCATATCGCCCCCACTTCAATCTCCAGCCTCCACTCCCTTCGGGTTTGTGTGCTCACCACACTTGGCCAGAATGACATCTTTGCCTGGCCCAACCTCTGTCCTCGGGGTGTCTCTCCACCTGAGAGGCTCGCCTCCATTCTTCAAATGTCTGCTCCTTCTCTTCCCACTCCCCTCTGCTTCCCAGAAGCCTCACACCATCTCATCACCTCCACACCCTTATTGCTAGCCCTCCCAGAGCCCTGCCTGTCTTCTTCATACAGCCAGCTGTCCCCATGCCCAATCAGATATGTATTGCCTTAACTTTGTAATGATTTTGATAATACTGTCCTCTGCCATCAAGTGCATTCTGGCTCTTAGCAACCCTATAAAGGTTTTCAAGGTTGTAAATCATTATGGGTGTAGACAGCCTCATCCTTCTCCGGCAGAGCAACTGGTGGGTCTGAACTGCCAACCATGTGGTTTAGCAGTCCATTGCTCACCCGACAGCACCACTAGGGCTTCTTGATAACAATATTGGCTAGCATATATTGAGCTTTTATGATGCACATAGAACTTACTACTGTTTTATGTGAATTAAGGAGCTCTGTTGGCATAGTGGGTGGCGTGTGGGGCTGCTAACAACAGGTTGGCAATTCAAACCCACCAGCCACCCTATGAGAAAAAGATGAGGCTGTCTGCTCCCATAAAATTTTACAGCCTTTTTTTTTTTAATAGGTCTTAGTCCTGCATACATAGTTTTGCCTTAGTGAATGAGCATTTTTGCCTTGTGTCTCACCCTCATTACTTTCTTAAACAGTGTTCAGTTTGTAACCTATAGAAGGGAACTTCCCATATATTTTAATCTAAAAAGTTTTCTTACATATGTATACCTTCCTGGTCTCAATAGTACTTTTAAATGTATACCATTGGCTAGATTAATGATATTATTATTAGAATTACCAAATGTCTCATGGAGGTGTCTTTAATTCTTTCTCAACAAGCTGATAACGCTGCCTCTAAAGTGAACCAGGGATATATGTTAACTTAGATACATGAATGGATTTTGAACTTAATCGTGAACCCTAATCTAAGAACTAAGAACAATTAGTTTTTACCACATGGCCCTGCTCAATACTACCTTCATGATGTGGTCACTGAAGATATAGGTACTGTAGCAAAGTGTGGTGAAGAAATCAGGTCATATCCAGCTAGCATCTGGGGTCTTAATGACTTGTCTTATAACAAGCACCCATCTAAGTGAGGTGTCAGCTAAGTCCACATGGAAGGAGCATGCAAGCCTGTGTGATCTGAGGATTGCAAAATCCAAGATCAGACTAGGAAATCACATTGGAGCTTAAATTCTGAGCACCCACATTACAGAAAGCTATGAATGACAGTGAACGCCCAGAATACAGAGTCGCACATGGGATTAACCCTCCAGTCAATGCCCTTGGACTACTGACTAGAGATGTGAACAGCCTTGCTACCCAGCACAGTGCATTGGAAAGTGGGTTCCTGCAGAGAGGTAGGTTAAAATGTAGCGCATTATCATTTGTTTTCCCTTTTGGCCCTCTTAAAATTTGTTCTAGTTTCTATACTGCTTTCTTTTGGATTGAGGCTTTTCTACGTTTTATTTTGTTGTTGTTGGGGTCTTTTAAAATAAAATTTTCTTTATGTGAAATCCAAGATAAAGAATCCATAGAGGCAGTGACTAGATTCATAGTTGGATTAGCACAGGTGAGGTTGGGAGGGGAGCTAATAATAATGGGTACTGATGACTGCACAACTTTAAAAAATATATTTAAACCCTAGAATTGAATGGTACAGGAATTATAAGCCAATAAAATTGTTAAAAAGAACCTAAAAAAGAGAAAAACGGTACAGTCTCAGCAATCCACACGAGTAGCCCTGTAGGGTCTCTGTAAGTCAGCATGGACTTGATGGCACGGGTTCTGGGTTTGAGTTTTGTGTGCATTGTCACATTAGACTACCATAACTACTCACTGAGGTGTCTATTCCATTTTAAAGCTATGGAAACAGGGACGTGGAAGGGGTGGTAAGTAACTTCCTAGTGTTTGATCTCTATCTCCAGCAGCAGAGGAAATGGATGCTGGCCATGGACACTGGCCCATGTCAGAGGTAGACGAGAAACCCAAAATATCAAAATGATTGCCATTGACTCAACCCCAGCTCACAGTGTCCCTACCTGATACAGAGCAGGGCTACTTCATATGGCTTTCTCAGCTGCGGTCGTAGCAGAAGCAGGTCACCAGGCCTTTCTTTTGCGGTACCAAGGAGTGGGCTAACACCCAACGAGGCATTTAACTAGCAGGAAGTAGAAGCTGGACTTTCTGAGAGCTTTCTGGAAGGCGGTGGTATTGGGGTTGATCTTAAGAGAGAGAGAGAGAGAGAGACTTAAAAATGCGACTAAAGAAAGCATCTAGCAGGATGCATGCACAGCAAGGGCAGAGAGGGAGGAAAGCCAGTGCTAAAGGCAGCTGAGCTGTGTGCTCAGACGGAGCCCTGTCTGGGCTGCAGAGGTGAGCCAAGGTCAGCTCGCAGGGAGCTTTGGAATGCCATGCCAATGGGAGCTTGGCATTCCCTCAGTGCCTGCCAAGTGAGGAGTGCCCTTTGGAGTCTCCAGCCAGGAGTGCTGAGTCTGGAAGCCCAGTCAGAAGCTCTTGAGGGTAAGAGTTTGCTTGGAGCACCTTCTTAGAGAGCCCCAGTCGAGACTGCCCACCATATCTTGGACTTCTACAGCCTGGCTCATCCCCTTGGAGCGAGAGATGGAGGTGAAGGACCCCAAATCAATGGTCTACGTGATTCTCACCACCAGAGCCCACCTGCCTCCTGGGCCAAGACTTCCCCCACCCAACCCTCTCTCCCTTTCCTCCTGATCTGTGGGCACTTGCTGTTCTCAAAGACCACCTCTACCAGGTACAGTCCACTGGGAGCCCCAGCAAGGGCCTGGGCAGGAGAAGACCTAGCGCAGAGGCACTGAGAGAGAAAAGAGAGACCAGGAAAGAGAAGGCATGGGGATTCACAGGGGCATGACCTACATGTCTCTCCTCATCCTTCTGCCAGCAGATGCTGACCAAGATGCCCAGTTGAACCCGGTCTGCATGACCCGGGCAAAATGCCCGACTCACTGAGCCTCCATTTCCTCGCTTGTAGGAAAGACCTCCCATTGCAGCTCCCTCTACCCTTTGTAGAAGACCTACTTCTAGGGTTGTGTAAAAACTAAGACATCTGTGCTGCCTACCTAATAAAAGCCCGGTAAATCGTACCATCTGCTGCTTGGCACAATTGTGTGAATTCCAAAGTTCCAGAGGCCTCACCAACCCGTAGGTGCACATGAGGTTCTGTTGGCATTTACACCCAAATTTTGCTGGCTCCCTTTCCCCACTTCCTGACAATGACGTCATCGCCCTGAAGTTACCCTCCATCCCACAGTGGGAGGACTTGGGAGGGGCTGTCTCCCGGGCTCACAAACAATTCCTTGCCTTGTGGGTACTGGCCCTTCTCCAGACCTTTGCTAGGCCGCTGTCCCTGTCACTGCTGCTTCTCCACCAGGCTTTGAACCCCAGCTCTGAGGCTTGTCGTTAAGGAGTCCTGATGGTATAGTGGTAACGCATTGGGCTGCTAACTGTCAGAAGTTCGAAACCACCATAGGGGAACGATGAGGCTTTCTAATCCCCTACAGAGTCACAATGTCAGAAACCCACAGGAGCAGTTCTACCCTGTCCTATGGGGTCGCCATGAGCAGAATTGCCCAGATGCCAGTGGGTTTTTTTATGTAGAGGAGACAAGGTACTCACCTGCTCCAAGCTTGGGTTTGCTGACCTCACAGGGCTGCAGTAAAGAGAAATGAACGCATCCTGCAAAACTCTTATCAGAGGCAGAGCCTGCCAACGGCAAGCAATACCAGCTGCTCGTCGCAGCGGTAACAACAACAACGAAGAAAGAGCAAGCCAAGTGAATTCTGACCTGTGGTCACCGTGTCCCGGTGTGACTGTGCGCCACGGGGCTTTCATTGGCTGATTTTCTCTCGCCAGGCCTTTCTTCTGCGGCACGTCTGAGTAGACGAGAACTCCAACCTTTCTGCTAGCAGCTGTGTGTGCCGCCGTTAGCACCCGGTGGACACTCACAGTGAGAGCGGTGCACGGAGAGTTCTCCGACGGCCGTGTCCCTCGGTGATGTCAGAGCGCGCGCTTCAAGGGCGCACGCTGCAAGGGCGCACGTGGAGCCACGTCTCTCCCGCCAGGGGGAAATCTTCATTCAAACGAAAGCCTTGCCGTGGCGATCGCTGTGGTTCTCGTTGTGGTGGTTGCGGACGGTGCCGTCAAGTCCGTTCCAACCCGCTGTGCTCTGATGCACAAGACAGCGGGTCACCCCACCCCACCTCTGTTCTTGTGCTCTCGGTCCCTGCTTAGGTTGAGCCCCTGTGTCGTTCCATCTCCTCGACGGGCTTCCTCTAAAAGCAGAAAGCACACACAACAAAGCGCTGGTCTCACGAGCCCCTCCTGGGAAGGGAGGAGGGCAGAGACGGTTCCCCTTTAGGCCGATAAGATGCTGCGCCTTATGTCCGTGTGACCTGCTCTAACTTAACGTGAAAACGGACTTTACACCATCCCTTTGGAGTAAAGGAACGAGAGTGGTAAAGGGGACTGCGAGGGGGAGGGGAGGGGCACAACAGCCTCCCCTCCCCCCGGCCCCCAGCAGTCCAGACCAGGGGTCCCTTTCTCGTCGGGGAACTTGCCAAGATGCAGTGTCCCCCAGCCTACTCCCCAGGAGTAGGTCGGAGGTGTGTCTCGGGAGTTTGCATTTTTAATCAGCCCCCAAGTGCTTCCAGCGTGGGCCCTGCCTCCTCTGCTGGCAGCGGGGCTTCAACCCGCCACGTGACGCCCTCCCCACCCGCCCCCGCTGACTTCCCCTTCCCGTGTGGATTTCCTCTTGCAGGGATGGCGTTCCGTACTGCGAGTCCGACTACCACTCCCAGTTTGGCATTAAATGCGAGACCTGTGACCGGTACATCAGTGGCAGGGTCTTGGAGGTGAGTGATGAGCAGGGTGGCCTGTGACTCTACATAACCCTTGTCGAGAAAGGAGAAACTCACTCCACTCCGGCGGTCATAACCTCCACCTGCCCTGCTTCCTCTGCTTGCCACTTGGCCTTGAGTGTGACCCCAAAAATGAGAAGGCAATCAAAATTATTTCTAGTTCCCAAACTGCTATGCCAGCAAAATCCCTTGCTTCTCTGGACTAGAACCCAAGTAGAATTCTGGGAAGGATAACAAGTACCATCTTCTTCCATCCCTGCCTGAGAATGGAAGCCTTTATTATTATTTTACTTATTTAGTCATTTTGTAATGTGTTGATTTAAGAACCAGCTTGTCTAGCAGCTTGCTCCTAAGCCCTTCCTTGGCTGGTCCATCACCATAGCAACAGCTCTCCTCGTCAGCCTCTGATGCTCGGCTCTCTCTGCCTGTGACAGACAACCACAGCGCCCTTGCTGAGACCCTGCCCGAGCTCCCCACTCGCCAGCCACCCCCTCACACACCTCCCCCCTCCCCCCCAGCCATTCCCCGACACGCTGTAGGGACAGAAAGGCTGCTTCAGGACCACCACCACCACCCCGGGAGAACTGGGAGCAGCAAAACATTTCGTATGAAGGGAAAATATAATAACAGAAGCGATTGGGCTCTAATATTGACTCTGCAAACTCACGCACCGACTTTGGGGAGGATGTGTGCCTCGCTTGCTTGCCTGAGGGACAGACAGCTGAGTCAGCTGTCATGAGCTGAGTCATTAATTCTGGCAAATCTGCCCGATGGGTGGTGGTTACCTGGAGCTGTGTGTTCACGAGGTGTCTGTGGCCACATCTGGGCCCTGCAGGCAAGAGACACCATCAGAAAGCACTGCCTGGAGAGCTGGCATGGAAGCCAAGCCTGGTGGAGGAGAGGGAGGCCGTCTAGTGGAGGGCTGGGGGGAGGATGGCCTTGACCCATTGGGGGAGAGCGAGGAAGGCTGGTGTGGGTGGACGATATCAACTGGGAGCTGCGGAGGTGGTGCGTATCAGACAGGATTTTGCAGACTGTGTTGATGAGTTGTCCTGTAGACCAAGTGAAATGGAGAGCCAGTGGAGAGGCTTAACCCAGGGGACAGCATGCTATGGTTGTTTTTTAAAAGATCATTCTGACTGCTCTGTGGAGAGTTCACTGCGGAGTCAGAGAGAAGATGAGCACTCAGAGACGTGGAGTCACTGCAGTACGAAACCTAGCATGGGAGTGGTCGGGGGTGCAATGGAGGATGAGACATGTCACAGGAGGGCTGGAAAGGCAGCTGGGGCCAGGATTCCACAGATCTGTAATACCAGGGTGAGCAGTTGGTCCGAAATCCCTGGGCAAAGGGAGAGTGGCCCGTAAGGAGGTGCGCAGGCCCAATAGGAGGGGAGAGACTGGCAGCGGGAGGCCAGAGAGCAGGCACTGCCCAACCCAGGCAGCACAGACTCTGAGCGGAGTGCCAGTGAGAAGCGTGGTGTCCCATGTCTCCAACACTGCAGACGTAGAATGCCTCCAGCTTTGTAAGTTCGAGTGGCATAAGTTGGGGATGTGGAAATGGAAGGAACATCGCACCCCAGCGTGAAGCCTGGAGGAGAGGAGGTCAGGTGGGCAGCAGGGGCGATCTGGGCAGAGAGGAGTGCCCTTTGGGCAGGGTGGCGAGTGACATCCTGTCCTGGGAAGGTTTCCAGAAGGCACTGAGGAATGTGGGTCTGAGCTCAGGGGCAGGGCTCAGGCCGAGAGGGGCCCAATCCGAAAGCACTTGTCAAGATGGTCGCCAAGAGTTCCAAGGGGTGTGGGGACTGGAGCCAGCTGACAGGTGGTGGAAAAACACTGAGGTCTTAGAAGGAAAAGAGGAGCCGTCCAAAGAGTGGGAAGGACCCAGGAGTGCCCTGGCAGTGGAAGGACAGTCTGGGAAAGGCTGGCGAGGTCCGTCAGAGCCGAGCACTTCAGGACTGCGTCTTGAGAAACCGCTGTTGGCTACAGTGAAAGACCACCTTGATGACAACAGTGTATGTTGACCAGGAAAAAGAATGCTGGCCCATGTTGCCTGTGGCACAGAAGTCCTGCTGCCGTGGAATCCATACTGATTCGTGGTACCCCTGTGCTTCAGAATAGAGCTGCACCCCGTGTCTGTGAGCTTACCATAGTCAGTCATGAGGCCCTTCACATGGTCAACTCTCCAGGGACCTGGCCTGGTACCCATTAGCATTTAGTTTCCTTTTTCTCTACCCGTCTCAGCCCACTCTTGTCATTCCCCTTCCCTTCGGTCCTTCCTGGGTGACAGAACTCATGAGGCTGTGTGTCGGTCCGAACCTTCCTTCCTTGTTTGCACCCGAACCACGGAGAACCACATAGCTTATTTCCTTCCTGTTACATCTCCTCATCTGGTTTGCCTTGCTTTGCCTTCTCCAGCATGGCCTGATTTCTGCCATCTTCTCTCCGGTTTCCTTCACCAGCGTTCTGTCTTCTCTCACTGATGCTGGAATCAGGCTGCCCTCTCGGCCTCCCCTCCCTCAAAAGGTTTCTGGCGCCATCCATGGCCGGGGTTGCTGAGATGGTGAACAGCTTCTTTCGGTTGGGGCAGGCGGGCGGGTGGGCTGTGACATTTAGGAAGATGATGCTAAGCTTCAGATTGCTACA